CTTATATTGCACTTATAAAATTTAACCTCTATATAAGCACAAACTCTCTATAAGCACCAAATTCTTAAAACCAAGGGCGTGATTATAGAGAGGTTTGACTGTATTTTAAATTTTGTATATATTGGCATAGCACTATTACACTCGATTCTGGATACGTATAACGAACTCGTAATTTAAAATTTTTATAATAGAAAGTGCAATGGGTCCTTAAGAAAGCATAGTAATTTTCTATAACGAACTTTCTTTCTTCCAGAACCGTTAGTTCGTTATTGAAGGAGTTGACTGTATATTATATTAATTTTTTATCATAGTAGATGCTTAAATATCATACAGCAAAGAATTTGCGCCAAGAAATTTATAAATAGAACTAGAGTTATCGATTTCGTTTTTTTCAAAAACGTGGCGAGTGGATCACGTGAAACGTGAACTTTTTTATGGGGTATGCTGGGGTAGTTGACACTCACATTACCGTTACTTTTGGCGGGCATTTCTTAATATTTTCTTGTTCTAATATTAATACCCTCTCAGTTTGAGACAAAGGTCGTTTGGCACCAAATGCTAACGCTTGCTCTTCAGCAACACGTTCAGCTACTTCCTGTCTCGCGCGAATTGCATAAAATTCATTACATGCCTGAGCATATGCCTTACTTTTTGACATTCCGGTCGACATGAGATAAAGTTGGTATTTTATCACGCTATTATATAACGAAAATAGAATTAGAGTAAATTTTTTTCACTCGATTAAAGTTATTTTTTACTCTTATTACCTCTCCCCGCTAATTTGGGTAGGGTGCCTACCACCCAATAAGGTGCTCCAGTCTTCTCTAACAGGTATCTCCTTTTCGATTAAGCTTTGAGGTCGCAATAATTCATAAGGATGATCTCTATAGAATCTTCGTCGTAAGGAATCTTCTTCATACACAATCTTTTGTGGTCGTTTTCGAAATTGAAGTGGGGAACGAAGGACACTTGAACCAGGCGGAACTGCCTTCATAACCGGAAACCAAATTGGAGGGACTTTGTAAATGCCACCCGCCAGAAGCCGAGATACATGGTCGTGAAGTTTCGTGGGTGATCCACGATACATTTGTAAAAATAACAAAAATGAATTAAAAGATGTTTATCGTTATAAATTTTTGCAAATCAATTCTAATCGACGAACCTCTTATACTGCGTCTATAATCGTATGCACTGCGTCAGGTGACGAGCATGCAATAATAATATAATATATAATGATTACCTTCTTTACGACTAAGTACAGGTGGCTTTATTAATCTGTTCATTTTACCGTTACTTTAATCTCAAACATGAGTTCCGCTCCCGTATCTATGGAGGACCAGCAAAAACTTTTAGAGGAAGCATTGAATGTGGTTAAAGTTCAGGCATTTCAAATGAAAAAATGCCTGGTAAGTTAGATTATAGTTCAGATTAGATTTACATGTAACGCACGGCTCTTTTATTTACCTTCTGTTTATAGGCCAACAACAAACTTATGGATGGCTTGAAACATTGTTCTACGATGCTAGCAGAATTGCGGACATCCGTATTGACACCAAAAAATTATTATGAGCTTTGTATCTTTTTTTCTTCAAAAATAAAATAAAATAAATAAATAAATATATATATATATAATGATAGCAAAGACTCTTAGCAATAAGTATTTTTAATTGAATTCCTGAACTATTGTTACTTGTAAAGATATGGCAATTTTTGATGCTCTCCGACACCTCACAACATATCTAATGGACGCGCATACTTCGGGAAGGCATCATCTTGCAGATCTTTATGAGTTAGTGCAGTACGCAGGAAATATTATTCCACGTTTATATCTTATGATTACTGTTGGAAGTGCTTACATGTCACAGAGAGATGCACCAGTCAGAGAGATTATGAAAGATATGATGGAGATGTCTCGCGGTGTTCAACACCCGACGCGTGGATTATTTTTGAGGCATTACCTGAGTGGGATGACGAGAGACTCATTACCTGTCGGGAGTGATAATGGGTACTAGGCATTCCTGTTTCTTTCTCTTCATTTTCCTAAAAGAAAAAAAAGTATATATATTTCAAAAACATAATAAAAGATTGATATCATTTTTGGTTTTTTTATAAAGTCCTCAAGGCAACCTTCAGGATTCAATTTCATTCATTCTTACTAATTTTATTGAGATGAATAAGTTATGGGTCCGCCTTCAACATCAGGGGCATTCGCGTGATCGTGAAAAAAGGGAGATGGAACGAAAAGAATTAAGGATTTTAGTCGGAACAAATTTGGTTCGCCTAAGTCAATTGGATGGTGTCGATTTAGAGCTGTATCAAAAAGTATTAATTTTCAAATATCATTTTTCTCTTCAATAATATTGCAAGTATTATTTATTCATTTCTGCATCTGCAAATATAATCTAACAGAGAGTATTACCAGCCATATTAGAGCAAGTCATCAATTGTAAAGATGTTATTGCTCAAGAATATTTAATGGAAGTCATCATCCAGGTGGGTTTGATGGGCTTGATTTTTTTTAATTCAAATAATTACAAGGAACTTACAAATAATATTTGCTCTAAGGTATTCCATGATGACTTTCATTTGAGAACACTTGGTCCTTACTTGTCAGCCACTGCACAACTACATCAAAAGGTTAATATAAAACAGATTGTTATCGCGCTTATTGATCGTCTTGCAGCCTATGCTGCTCGTGAAGCAGATTCTGAACCACCAGAAGTGGTTAAACAACAGGAAGAGGAGGCTGCTCGTAGGCTAGCTGAAAAATTGAGAAAGCAAAAAATTAGTGGATACAGTGATGAAAAAGACTATGATGACGATTTGCTGGAAGAGGAACCTCAAGAGGAATTGAATAACGATGACCTTTCGTCAAATAAAATAAAATCTGGTGAAGAACCCACCGTAAAAAAATTCCGTGGTATTCCAGAAGATGTAAAACTCTTTGAGGTTTTCTGGGGGCAAATTGTCGAGTTGGTCAGGGTATTTATTTTAACATATATATATATTTATTTATTTATTTTTTTATTTGTTTTTTTTGTTTTTGAAAATTTCTAATCATAGAAACTCTACTTTTTATAGGCACGTCACGATTTATCCATCCAAGATATCACCGCTTTGTTGGTATCTTTGGTCAACTTATCATTAAGTTGTTATCCTGACAAGATTGAATATGTTGATCAGGTCATAGAATTTGCAAAACAAAAGGTTTTGGACTTCCACGATAGGTACATTATAGAAAAGAATTTTTTATTTTTATTTTTATTTTAAATATTAGTATTCTGAATCTGAAGATACAATATTTTTCCTTATATAAATTAGTCCTGATTTACATAGTCCGGCCGCTACCTCCAATTTACTCAATCTACTTTTGGCACCAATCAACAACTATTCTACCGTTCTCACTCTTCTTGCATTGCCCAATTATTCTGCACTTCTTTCTGTTCAACCGTTCCAGACTCGCCGTTCTGTTGCACATGCCATTGTTTCCTCTATTCTCAAGAATGAAACGATTATCGAGACTCCTCATGAAGTCAATTGTATACTGGATCTTTGCAGCGTCCTAACGCGTGATCAAAAGGATGCTACTCTTTCAAGTCCATTTAGTGGGCTTACCGGTGGGAGAAATACGAGATCTAGCGGTATCCCGCCGACGATGGATCCAGAAGAATTTGCAGAAGAGCAAGGATGGCTTGCAAGGATAATTCATTTATTCAAAAGTGATGATCCAGATAATCAATATATGGTACGTCAGTAACGTTATATTAATTTGTTATTTCATAATACTTATCAATAGATAATTCACTCAAATTTATTGTTCTATTGTTAATTGTTGTAAATAGCTTCTTACTACAGCCCGTAAACAATTTGCAGAAGGCGGAGAGAGAATACGATACACTTTCCCACCTCTTGTTGCGTCGGCTGTTAAATTAGCAAGAAGATACCTACAGATGCAACAACGCGTAAATATTACTCTTACATAATAGCTATTCAAATCCCGAATTCAAGTAATTAACTTTATTATTCTTTCTGAAAGGATGATGGTTGGGAGAAAAAAGCGAATACACTCTTTCGCTTTGTTCACCAGGTCATCACTGCTCTATATAATAAAGTTGAATGTTCAGAGTTATGTTTGCGATTGTTCCTTCTTGCTGGTCAAAGTGCTGATGAATGTGGATTTGAAGAAATATGTTACGAATTCTTTGTTCAGGTTTGCTTTCGTTGTACCGCTTGATTGATCGTTTATCGCATCAAATTCGTGTCTAAACTAAAGGTTCAATTATAAAAGGCATTTACCATTTACGAAGAATCGATTTCAGAATCGCGCATACAATTTCAAGCTATTACGCTCATTATTGGTACATTACAAACTACTAGCGTGTTTGGCCCAGAAAATTACGATACTTTGATCACCAAATGTGCTCTGCATGGAAGTAAATTGCTTAAAAAACCGGATCAATGCCGTGCAGTTTATCTTTCTAGTCACCTGTGGTGGGCTACTGAGGTTGAAGGAAGAAATAACAGACCAACTGAGGTATTAATCTTAATTTTTGTTCACCTATATTCTTATAAATTGCTATTGTTAATATTTTTTTTCTTTATAGGAATTATATCGCGACGGCAAGCGAGTTCTTGAATGTTTACAAAAAGCCCTTAAGATTGCAGATTCTTGTATGGATTCTGTGACTAACGTGGAGCTATTTGTGGAAATCTTGAATAGATACATATATTACTTTGAAAGAAAGAACGAAGCTGTAAGTTATTAATTTTTTAATTTATTTAATGACATTATCTTATGAACATTTTATTTATTTATTTATTTTTGTAGGTTACTGTTAAATATCTCGATGGCTTGATTGATCTTATTAATACTAATCTTACTAATATGGATAGTTCAGACCAACATCCTCCAACGTCTGCTTCATCGGCCCTCATTGAAGCTGAAGGAAACTTATCAGAATTTGTTGTAAGACATTTCAAATCAACCCTTCATCATCTTAATATGCGAAAAGAAGCAGTACTTGCTTCTAAAGGGCAAGGTGACATTTTTCAGCAAAGATATGATGAGATAAATACCAATGTTTCTTTGTGAGAGTAATAATTGATATATTAATTTGGATGTTAAAATGCGGTTGTTTTTTTACAATCTTAATATATGTTGTTATTTATGTAATATTTTGTATTTACATCTTGTATTTTTGGGAATTAGATTTGTGCATTTTGTTATTATATTTAAAATGCCAAATGCAGAAAAATTAGTAATAATAAATTTTTTGAATTTACTTTTTTATATATAAAGACATGTAAAAAAAAAATTAAAAAATAAAAATAAAATTTTAATTTATTTAAATTGATATTAAAAATCAATAATCTAGTGTTTTTATACAATTATTGTACAGTGTGAGACATTTAAAGACTTCACAAACTTTAAAAGTTTATAATATTTAATATAAAAACAATATTACAAAAAATAAGCCACTATTTTGTCATTTAACTAATTTATTTTATTTTATTTTTTTTTTTTATTTTAAGATAAGGTTTTGCCTTTATCTTTATTAATAATTTGTATTGAGGATCCACTATGGGTTCCTCTGGGTTTAACTAATTTATTACAACTTAGTTGTTTTATTTTTTTTTAATCTTTGGCAACCTTGCCAGTAATTTTTTATTAAGATTATTATATAAATAGATTACATAATGTTGAGTATAATATTTAGGCCCAACATCCTCAGTTACCTCATGGGTGCCCAGAAGCGGTCTGCCACACTGGTTTGAAATTTGTTTCAAAACTAGAAGGCTAATACCAGATTAGCTTTACAAACCATACCAAAAGGATTTGCAACTATTTTGAATTAATTTTTTAAAGTTATTAAACCATTTATTTTTTATCTTTTTTATATTCTCTTCTTTTTCTTCCTTTAATCTAATATTTCTTTCCAATCTTTTCACATTTATCCTATTTTTTGAACCTTCTTCTTTTGGTTTTGTTTTGACTATACTTAGTTTAAACTTTTTCTTCTCTTTTATTAGTCTGCTATTATGTTTTTTTTTGGTTATAATATTTCTACTAATTTCTTATTTTCATATTGTCTCACATCTTCTTGTCTATATGTTCTTATAAAAATAATTTCAAATTATATTTATAGTGAGTTTAATGTAGGCCTTGGCTTCTTTACTTAAATGTAAAAACTCTTGTATTTTCTTTGCTTTGTCTTTTTTTTGTACTAGTTTTTTAATTAATTTTGCTCTTGTTTTAAAAGATTCTTTTCTTGATTCTTCCAAAGTATTTTTTCTAATAAATTTTTGTCTGTTCTTCTTCGAATTTCCTTTAAGAGAGTTATCTATGTTAGATTTGCTGTTAGTTTTTCTGTAGTTTTTCAATTATTTTCTTGTTTCTTGTAAATTGCTAAATGATTTTGATCTTCTTCAACTTTTTCATTACATATTATACAATTTGAATCTTAATACAGGTCTGGGAGTCTTTGTATTAAAGTTTAAAATATAGGTAATTTTTTATTAGCATACTTGATTAAAGCTTTAAAGAATTTGCTCTTTTTTAATGTTGTATATCTGATCCTGCTATTTTTTTTGATCTGTTTTCAAAAATAGGTTCACTTGTTAGCTTCGAGATTCTGTATCAGACTAAATGAATATAGAAGTTTTATAAATAAATTATTTTAAACTAACTAATATATTACATATTCTGGATGAGGTTAAACAGATTGATATAGGAAACTCAGATTAGAGGGTTTAATTGGGTAATAGTAGATTATAGGTACAGCATCTAGTATAGCACCTAGCATATAGGTAGAATACTTAATTAGGTACTCAAAAGGTGCAGATATGGCTAGAATGTATCCTTGTCAGAATATACTTGTTTAGTGTCCTTTTGAAAAGGGCACCATATGATCTTAAATCTAATAAAAAGTGATAAACCAAAGAGGCTAACCTTGACTATGTAAAAAAAAAATAAATAGATTATAAAAAACAAATAATAATTAAAAAAAGTTTTGTCAAAATAGAAAACTAGCTAATAATAATCATATTAGAATTGATATCAATTTAGTTAACTAACCTGTAGCACTAAGCAAAAAAGAAATCAAAATATATACAAATAGAGATATGACAAAATTAGGTAATTTTTTAAAGAGAAAAGAGAGATAAAAAATTTAAAATTATATATAAAGACTTAGTCAAAATATATAATAAGAGGAAAAGAGGAGAATAAGCTTCTGATAAAAAAAATTAGATAATAAATGATACTGTCTATAGTGCAGAAATAATTACAAGTATAGAGAAAAGAAAAAGCAATTTTTTAAATAAATAATAATTAAAATAAAAAAATTATTATCTAGTTTAAAGTATTATAGAACTAGTTAAAATAAAAGAGATTCAATTAGATTTAGTTAAAATTAAAGAGTATAGCAATAATAAATAAAATAATAAAGCAGATAGTTTGGGAAGACCATAGACAAAACTCTTTTTGATAATCCTTTAGTCAACAACAACAAAAACTGAACTACAGCAAAACGTATAGAAAAGCGATAAAGTGGATACTAAAACTTGGTCCTTTAAGTAAAAGCAGCTTGTTGTCGATGAAGTCTAAGCTGTCTAGATGTGAAATACCAAAAGGCGGATATCAAAAGAATAGACGGTTTTCTTTAGGGTTAAGTTTTCTTTCTGGCGGACTCCCCAAAGTATTTGGCATCCAAACCAGAAGGTTTATTCTAGGAACAAGTCTGTAGAAGTAGCCAAAAGTGTACTCCTAAGTAGTAGAAATGGAGAAGCTGAACTATACAACTGTAAAACTTACAAGAAGAACTTCATATACTCTCGTTGGCCTACTACTTTTTTCAAGGAAATTTTTGTGTAGGCGTTTTAGCTTACTCCCTCTAAATGATCGATATTGTTTATCTCCCAAATCAGAACATGACAACAAACATATGTATACACATGCCTCGAATGCAATAGATATCTATACAAACGATGCTCCGAGACTCTGTTTCGACCTCTTTACTTTAAACTAGTCAATGAAGTTTTTCCTATCGGGTTTTTACTTTCGCATACTAGTTTAGTAGGGCAAAAATAGGAGTTCTGGGACACTTTTTTGGTACCCTGGGTATCAAAGTATTCATTTTGCTTTTTAATCATTATAGAAAACCTATATTCTATATCAACTCTTTACTTCCTATATAAAAACCTAAGTACTAAAAATTATATAGCTAGAACTCACTATTTTTATATTTTATAATCAAATTGGATGATGACAAAAAATTGATCACATCGTCATACCTGATATCATATATCATTTACCTATATATAAAACAAAGTACTAAAAATTAAGTATCTATTTTCCTTTTATAATACTTTTGATAATGTTTGCTAACATAATAGCCTCCAATATGATTAGGACATCGCATACTTTCAGAATAAGTAGGTTTACCACAAATAGTACAAGGAAAGCGTTTTATAGCATTTTTATGAAGCTAACATCCTTCAGGTTTCATATATGACCGACCACATATCTCTCCAGTATATAAAAGAAAATCACATATATATTCGTCTAATTGCATTTTTTATATATATATACTACATATGTATTTTCAAATTAAATAAAAATATTTTATAAATAACGGATAAGGAATTTCGTACTAGTACTCATATACAAATTCATACTATTATTTTACTATGGTAGTATATATATGTAATAAATATGGAAAAGATTTTCCTAAATTAGCAAAACTTCGTATACATCTAGAACGAAAAAATCTATATAAACCTAGTAATATCTAAAATCCTGTTATAGCTCCAACACCATTACTACAAAATTCAGCTACAGATCAAATTCTGATACAAAACTATGTTCTAGTAGATGATTTAATTTTATTAAACGATATACCCTTATTACCTATTCAGAATATGCCTTCAAATAATTATCTTCAAAATGATACAGAATGGTTTGATAATATGGAAGATAAATATAATATAAATGCTGATCAAAAATGGTCTGAATTAGGTGGAACCTTGCTCCATGACTATCCAAAAAGAAATATCATAATAGTAGAAGGCAATTTTGGTGGTAAACCAGTAAGAAAAAATTATAAATTAATGAACAAAGAGTTAATATTTGAAGAATGCGAAACTAATTCTGATTCTTTAAGGCCCCATCAGAACTTAATATCAATAAGTTTATAGTAAGCAGTTATTTCATCTCCTGATAATATAAAATATAGTTTTAATCACTATGTTGAGAATAGTAATAAATATTTAGAAGCACCCTATATGCCTCAACTTATAGCAAATGCTAGAAAACAAATTACAAGGGTACTTAAAGCTGAATTGCGTAAAAAAAGATCAAATAAAAACTGCATTAATTGCACAATGCATATATCATGGGCATATTAGCAAGGAAAAAAGTACTAGAATTTCAACATATATGATTAGTCATCATAGAAGCCTCATGCGTATTATTCTTACAGAAGAAGATATCAATGAGCATATAAATTTATCTATATCAGAAATAGATAATAAAATAGACACATTTATGAAATCAGGATCAGAATAGAATTTGGTAAGAATTAAAACATTAACTATTGAAGCTTATACTTTGCGAAGAGCTGTTGGTGGATCATATATCTCAACTCTAAAAAAGCTTGCTAATACCAAATGTACAATCAATCCTGATAATTCAAAAATAATCGATCCAGTTACAGGTATACTATCTGATAATTGCCTTCAAGGAGCATTAGCTTGTTATTTTGCTAATAAAGATGGACATACAGAACATCTTGAACGAATATTTACTAAAAAGGATTATAAGCAATACTTAGATATAGTCAATTTAGATGGAATCTCAATGCCTACACCAATTTGCTCACGTATATTCAATAAGATTGAAGAGATGAATCCTAATATCTCTATCAATGTCTGAGAATGAAAAAAAGAAACAGCTACTCCTAAACCAGTAATAGCTAGCAAGAATTATAATAGACAACATATTATATATCTTATGGCTCTTACAGATTTTACGAAATCTGAAGACCGTAAGGATAAGTATGAACAAAAGAACCATTTCCTTTGGATCAAAAACCA